CACCAGGGTGTGAAGGAAAAGTGACAGTACCAATAAGGCGTAAAAACAAACACAGAAAGACTCTCCCAACTTTTCTGTTAGGTTGGGAGTGAAGACAGGGGTCTCATTTGCCTGTAAAATACTTTCCTACCCTTAAACCTGTTTTTGTCAGGACCTGATTAATCTCTTCTCAACCTTAGTCTGTATATAAGTATGATGCCCAGCACTCCATCCCAGTGCAGGGCAGGGATCCCATGCTGAAGGCTTGAACTAAATGGTGAACACAACACACACTGGATTATCAGGTCTCAGGCCTATAGTGCAGGCCAGAATGACCAGGTTGTCTGCTTTGCCCAGTCTGACAGAAATGCAGCCAAAGACACCTAAGTGATCCCCACAAATTCGTATTGCCAGGAGTTTCTCCCTGCAAAACAAAACACAAAGTCTTCACAAACTTTGGGAATATTTATTAGATTATAATTCCTAAATTAGCTTTCAGATAGGGTTGTACTCCAGTCTGTATAGACAAAACTCTAGGCAATTTGCTGGGTCTTTTCAAATGTTATTTTCATAGTCATCAGTGTCATCAACTAAAAAAAACCCCAAACTCTTCTGTTTAGCCCAAAGAGCAGATGATGTTAGTTAAAGAGGAGTCATTGTAGGCTGCAGCTGCACAGTCAGAGGTGTTAAATGCTATTCCATAAAACCACTGGGAGAATACAATTCTCTTAAGAGAAAGAAGTCTGTCAGACGGTTGAAGAAGAGTTTCCTTCATTTCAGGGACAGAGAGTTTTGAAAAAAAAAATCATGCTTTCAATATGTCCTAAGTAGATTTAAATTTTGATGGTCCTTGGGCTTTATTATGTCTGCCTTTCTGAGACTGAGTTCATGGTTTGAAGCTGTAATCTCCAGTTGTTCCACTAGCTCTTTCAATATCATTTGTGTTGCTGTCAGTGCTGGAAGATTAAAAATTTGAGGGAGCTGTGTTTGGACTCAGTGTGAAGCCAGTGTCCTTTGAGATTTTGCTGGTTATTACTGAAATTAACACCCACATAGGTTTACTTAGGCCTTGGAAACACTACATTTGCAACAAAACCCCCATTTTTTTCCTGAGTACAGTTTCAAGCAGAGGGTCACATCTCAGGTGAACAGGAAGTGAAGATGGTGTGTGAGACTAGAATTACAGATGCATAGACTTGTCTGACCTTGTATTGATTGCCCCCAAAATGACTCTGTCTTACAATGTTGGCTCTGGTGACTTTCAATGACAATCAAGTACCTAAATTCTATTATTGCTATTTTCGAATAAATAGAACTCATCACATATTGAAATTCTCACTCCTCCTCATTTAGTTGCTTTTGCTTAGTTAATATCTTTTTTGACATTACAGTGTGAAAACATATCCTTCTTCATATTTTATTCTTGGTAGAGACAGCAGAACCACCCCTGCACCACAGGTGGGTTTTGCACTCGGTAGCTTACTGTGATGTTTCTCAGATTAAATTTTTTTAATGGCTAATTTTAGATAATATTAGAATATTTTAATTTTAAAATGGTTATTTCTTTCATCTGCAAATCCCTTTTTTTTCCCCTACAGAAACAGGATGGGAAGAAATCTTTTGGCTATCAAAGCTAATGCCTTGCTGCCAGGTAGTTCATTTCTTGTTCCTGCTATTTCTATGGAAAATCTGTTCCAGGCTGTGATGGTCCTAATAGACATAGCTGTATTGTAAATGTTAGTAAGGAACTCTTCTCATTTTCAGCTTAAACCTAATAATATTTCATATACACATGTTTGTCCTGGTACTAACATTGTGTTTTACTTTAGAAAGTTTCTTTCTAGGGTTTGCTCTCAGTTGCATTTTTGACAGCCTTCCTATCTCATCTCAGTGTCCTTTGCTAGACTAACGAGTCAAGCTCCCATGGTCTTCTACAGATCCTTCTGCATCTTTCTACATATTTGTCTTGAATACAAGTAACCAGCACAAACCCTAACTTTCATTAAAAGTCTCCCCAGGACTTTGTATAGTCTAACACATCTCTGTCTTGATTCCAGCTGATACACTGTGTGATTCCATTTGCCCTTTGTGCAGCTATTGGGACTTTTCAGCTCATGGCCATCCCAGGAACAGCAAGTATTTCTTTCCCTTAGTTTCCAAATAGTGAACTACGAATCTCTGTTATTGGTTTCCCAATAAATGACATTGTGTTCTGTAGTGATACGTTTAACCTCAGTCCCAAGGCTGCACATGTTTTTCAAGTAGCGTTCAGACATTTTTAACCAACTTCTAACTAGGAAAAATAAGAAAATAATGAAGCAGCAGAGAAAAACTACCTTACATATTGTTTTATTGTTCCAGTTGTTTATCCTAATTTCACTCATTATAGTTTGACATTTGTTTTCTTCCTTTATTTTTCTAAGAGAAAAGTGGTTATGTTAAGAAGGTGTTATAAGACAATGAAAAAATATGAAATGTGAAAACATGCAGTTATTGAACTAAAAAATAAATAATATTTTACTTCTTAATAAAACAAAAGCTTTTATTAAAGAAATGCTATTTGGAAAACCCTTTTGATATTTTCCCAGAAAAAGCTTAATCAAGGAAAAATCACTCTATTATTCTACAAATGTAATACATTAAGCAAAATAAATTTATTTAGAGATGGTAATTCTCACATGTAGCATGGATAAAGAAATAGTAAAGAATCCCAAAACGCTGTGGAGAAAAACATAATCTGACCATGAAGGACCTCTAGTGGCACACTATACTTCCAATTAAAAAAGCCCTAACATTATGCTTGCTCAGCATTTTATAAGGAATCACTTTTGCAGTTTCAGATTTTAAGTTCAATTCATGAGATTTTTTTTCTCTTTCCTTTTGTCGATAAGGCAAATCCAGAAATACAATTTTGTTACAGTGATATACAGTGAAGTGTCTAAGTGTACAATGACATTGCCCTTTAAACTCCCTGAAACTTAAAGCAGATGCTGTCAACTTAAAAATTATGTTCTGTGTTTTTACTTATTATCATTATCTACTTTTATCACCTAGTCAAACTTACAATTTTCTCAGCACAAGGAACCGCCTGATAGGACACACTGAAATGAAACTGTTTAACAAAAACAAGTTGAAAGCAGATGAAGATACAAGATCTATGTCTGTGTCTCATTTGTCATGGTTGTGCTAATTCTTTTATTTGTTCTCAGCTCGAAAGTAATTTTTTTTTTTTTTTTGAAAAGCAGCAAAAAAAAAAAAAGCTATGCTGGTACTTTTGAGTTATTCTTCATCCATTCTATAAGATATCTAACTATAAGAAATATTTGGATTGCTAGTTCCTTTCAGGCACACTTCAAAATAGTTTGATATTTTAGATACAACTTTTGAATGATTGATTTTTAAAGAATTCTACGAATGTATTGCGAATAGTTCTTTGTCTACATTTTTGCTAAGTCAAAAAAGAGGTATAGGTCTACTAGTCTAGAGTTATTCCCAGGGATTTCACTCATCCTGGAACAGACACAGTAAATCATGTTACAGTGGAGCCAGTTACTTTTGTAGGGCACTGTGGCAATGGATTTGCCATATGTAGGATGGAAGAAGTCCTGTCAGAGATGGACTAGTGAAGAAAAAGAAGAAAACCGCTCAAATGTTATAGAAACAGAAGTTTTTAATGTGGTTTAAACAGGTTTTAAAATGGCTTTTGCTTTTTGCAAAGTCATTGCCCGACACCCCCCGTGAAGGACTATTGTCTCCCATACAGGAATGTCCTGAGAAGATGTCCTGAGGTGTTTCTCATTGGTCCTTGTTAACCCCTTCCTATTGGTTGTTAACCTTTTTACCTGATTGGTTTTTTCTGTGCCCCTGAACTTGTAATTGGTTCCCCTTTAACCCTCCTAAAAGCCTTATAAATCCCTACCCCACAATAAACTTCCTTTTTCGTCCATCCTTCCATGGTGGTCTGTGTGGCTCCTTACGGGGTTCCCAGGCCACGTGGCGGGGGGCAGGGGGGAAGAGCATTCCAGGTGATGGGCTGGATCCCAGGGCCTGAAGGTCTCCCCCTCCCACTAATCCGTCGTTGAAAGAGGATGCAGTACACAGCCTTAGATGCACACAGTCCCCATGTTTCCACTGGTGAGACGGCACTAGGGAGTGATAATACCAAGTCTGGTCTGTGGGGCCAGTCAGCCTCGTCGGCACACACTGCACACAGATGTATCTCTTTGTTGAAGCATAGGCAAACTCAGGAACCAACAAAAATCCAGAAACACAACCACGATCACACCTGAGATGAACCCTTAATCATAGTAAAGCAGGAGCCTGAAGCAGGAGTAGCTGAACACGAAGTCATGTTTAGACTTCTCACATATCTCTACATTCGTGGCCATGTTGTCCATAAAAATTTTCTGAGACAGCAGAGTATACCGTCCTCTGCAATGAACTTAGTCCCCAAAGTCTAACAAAGGGCTCTTTTAACAATTCTGGTTGCTGTTTTCTGTTTGTTTGTTTGGGTTTTTTTTTTTGTTAAAAAATTAAATTAAAAAGTGATCCCTGCCTGTTTAAACTCTTCTTACTTTGTTTCATATTTTCAGAGTTCACAGATACCCCTCTGGCACTGGAATCCATCTGCAGCTGAGCAGCTCTGCCCTAAAGCCCCAGCCTGGCAGTGGCTTTCTGGTGTGAGGCTGCTGCAGCCTACCTGTAGCAAGGAATTCCAAGAGCTGAGCTCTTCCTGGGGGCATTTCTGGGGTTTAATCCCACCACCTGGGACATATACAGCAGCATTAACAGTTGAGAGTCGTTAAAACCCCCATCAGAGTATGCAAAATATCACCAGGTTCTCCGGGCGAGTTGCCTTGAGATGTGGGTGAAGACAAACAGGCTGAGGTAAATCCTTAAGCATGGGAATTATCAGTAAAGAAGTGTGAGTTGGAACGTTAGAAGAGCTGAAGGCTGCACACAAAGCTGTGAGAAGTTAAACTTCACGGGTTTAGAGTAACTTTGGCTCCTGTAACCAGCAGATGAGCCTGAACTGCCTGCGAACCAAGCCAGCTGCGGCCACGTGGTCCGAGGGCAAAGTAGCCCTGCAGGGACCCGCATCGGTGCACCACGCTGGGGCTGCTGCTGGAACGCCCGCGGGAGAGCGGGAACATGAAACTGGCGTTGGCGCTGCTGGAGCCGCCCTTCGCTGCTCCCACTGCGCCCGGCGGATGGAGGAAACCGCGCGGTCGGGGCTCACTGAGGGAAAGGAAGACGAGCAGCGTTCCCCCCCCGGGCAAGGAGCAGCAGAGCTCCGACCCTCCGCCCTAGAACGAGCTATGCCCCTCCCGGGGGCGGCCCCTCGGCGGGCACAAAGCCGGCCTCGACCCCTGCCAGGAGCGCTGTGTGCCGCGTCCCTGTTGCCGTGCTCATCCTCCCTCCGTCCTCCCTTACCTTCCGCTGCTCGGATAGCGCCCGCCCTCACTGCCTCCATCCTTGCCTACTTCGGCGGGCGTGGGGCCGGGGCAGCGCCGGCGCCATGGAGGAGGCGGGCCCGCGGCTGCCCGGGGCACCGCCGCCCGGGCTGCGGCGGCCGCCTGTGGCTGGGGCCGAGCCCGAGGCGCCGCTCCCGCCGCCGCGCCGGCCTGCTGGCGGCTGCTTCGGGACAAGCTCTGCACCTGGTGAGTCCCCGGCTTCCACGTGGAGCCGCGCATCGCCGGTCTCCTGAGGGAGAGAGAGAGGGAAGGAAGGAAGGAAGGGAGAAAGATCCCTTCTCCCCTCGGCACGTTGGCCGACAGCGCGGTCGGGATGCGGAGACCGATCGGTGCCGCCGGGGAGCAGCCGCGTGATGCCCGGGCCAGAACACCCACCTCGGTGCGGCCCCGGGGTTACGGCCGGGTTGGGCAGAGCCTGGACCCTTCGGGCGCCCCAGCAGAGGTGGCTCGGGGGTGTTTTGGCAGCCGTCGCGGGTGCGGGTCGCTCTGATGCCCGGGCTGCTGCGGGAGCTCCGCTGACTGCAGCCTGCGGCTGCTGCTGGGCGAGAGCGCCAAGGGTCTCTTCAGCTGAGAGGGGTGTAGAATTAGCGAGTGATGTGTTTGACGTTGTCAGAGTGTACTCCCATATCTATACACGTGCACTTGACTTCTTTTTTTTTGTTTGTTTTATTAACTCTGTCTTAATATTTTTCTGTTTCCCTGTTTTTTCTGTATGTTTATGTGTTCTGTAATCTTCGATCAACATCGTTGTGAAGAACAGGTCAGGGGTGTCAGGGAAGGTAACAAAACAAAGTAGCTGAGCTACGGTGTGGAGTCCAGAAAGACTAATAGCCCCTTTTCCTCCTTCCTTGAATTGCTTTAGGGCAGGGACCTATTCTCTTGAAATATGAGCACTGGTTAAGCATGGAAAACTTGTGGAAGAAAATGTGCCAAGCTGTGCAGGCATAGCACTTGTTCTAAAGCTGGTACTTGCGAAGTACTGCCTTTTACAAGAGCGGGAGTACCTTCTAAGACTTCTAGAGCTACATCTACTTGCAGCTTCAGTTTCTATCTGGGGGTGGGGGGGAGTAATCCCCAGGCTCTAGGCTTGGTCTCTAATAATTATTGCATCAGATCTATTTGTCAGCCAAGATATGCTGGCTTTCCTACCAGCCTCATGCCTCCGTCATAAGCTGGAGTCTGGCAACTGGACTGTGTGAAGGTGTGTGCTGGCCAAGCAGAGCCTTGTTCCAGGGGGCAAAGCTTGCCTTTATCTTTTGGCTATAAAAGTTTTTCTCTTTTCATTCTTTTTTGCCTGTCAGGAATGACCCAAAAGGCAAGATAGAAACTTGAGCTGTTCAGTAATCTCACCTATGGTAGTAGTTTTACCAGAAGGCTACACTAATTGAGTCTATGGATGGTACTTAAAGAAAATAAAGTGCTTTCAGTGAGTTTTGTAAAGTGTTGTAGGTTGTGGTTTTGTGTGTTTGTTTGGTTGGTTTTTTGTGGGTTTTTTGGGTTTTTTTGTTTTTTTTTTGTTTTTTTTTTTTTTTTTAGTAAAAGCAGTAGAAAGTATATTTCTTGTACTGGAATTAAAGAAGTCTGTCTTTGCTGATAAATTAAATTGACCTCAGTTTCAAAGCAGAACACTGCAAAACAATAACTTGTGATGACATTAGTTCTTAAAAATATATTTGGTAGTCCTGAGCTATGTGCTAATCATGTTGCAATATGGGTTCTATCTGAACCTGCACTTTTCCTTTAACTAACTTTCTATTCCTCACATGAAAATGTGAGATTATTGACATTAAAAGGTCACTTCCCCTCTATTTAGGAAGGGTTCAGTAGTTAAAACTAAGTGTACGTAGACTCTCTATGTGTAGAGCGTTGCCAGGCTTTGCCTGTTAGTGTTTAATTGGTGGCATAAATAAAATTAACTTTTGAAAAGGTGTATTTATTTTAATGAAAAAAACCCCACATTAAAATTATAGGATTTAGTAAACTAGTAGCCGATAAAATTGTTAACTGTGGGCTTATTAGATTTTCTTTAATTTCCACAAATATAGACTCTGGTTTTATTTTAGTATCTTAGTATATTTTTATTCTGCTTTTCACATGGAACCAAGGAAAGCCAGCTTGACTTTCTCATGATGTTGAGAGCTGCACATTGTTCAGTGTTCACTTTAGACCAAATTGTGGCAAATTTTCGTGCTTCAAAAACCTCACGAAATGACTCCTAGTTTTGCTCAAAGCCATAGATACAGCTAGCTAAGATATGATGGCTGAAGGGAGGGGACGAGTAATTACTTGGTAGCCAGCTATCAACCATTAAAAAACAACCACCCCCCCACTCCAACTATAAAAATAAAAGGCCTTTTCAGACCACTTACCTTGCATCGTCTGAGAGTCCAAAGTGATTTAGTCCATTCAAATGCATTAAAAAAAAAAAAAAAGAGAGAGGATCAAGTTCTGGCATGGAAAAGTTAATAATTAATATATTTCAAAATGCGATCAATTATTAATAAGAAAATCCCCATTATCGATACCCATGTCAATACCGAAATGAATGGAAACTCATGTCTTCGAAGCATTTTTATCAAGAGAAATTGTCTTGCAAAATTTAGGATTTAAAGTTTGTTCTCAAGTTTTACAGAGGGTCAAATGCTTTTTATTAAGATATGCTGTGAGTCCAGCGCATCATGCCAGGAGCATGGCACCATCTCTTCAATTTGAAGAAATTAGTTTTGACACTTTGGCAAATGGTGTGAGAGGAAACCACTGCTGCTTCCTGCTGAGGCTTCCAGGTCATGTTAGGGGGCAGTCAGAGCAAGAGACTTATACACAGCTGAGAAAGCTGCCAGGTATGTGGCATTTGGGGATTCACAGAAGACATTTTTTGAGGGTAGCCTTCCACTGTCGGTGAACAATGTCCTTATGTGTCTCTTTTGATGTTAACATTTTGAATCTCTTCAGAGAAGAAGAAAAAAAACTGAATTAAACCAGACAAAAATAGAGAAGGTCATGAAGCCTGCTTGCTTTGTCAGATGCCTTTGGTACTATAGAAGTAAATGCTGTAGGACTGCTGAGACATTAACTTGACAGCAATGATTGCTTGGGTAGTAACCACAAAGCAAAACAGTTCTGGAAGATCTGGACCTGCGTCTCTTCCCATATGCAGAAACTCAAGGAAATAATTCCTGAGGTACTTTAAACTGGAGAAACTTCATTATTCGAAAAGATGAGGATCAGCTTAGTGGAGTTATTCCACTGCAAGAGGGCAACCAGGTCTTTCTTGTTTTCAGTAAAGCAGATCAATCATTAGCAAATTTGAATGGCAGCAGATTTAACTCTCTTGCTGGAACATGGTCAGTATAATTAGACAGAATGTGTCACAATCATTTGATTAGTTCACTAAATAGCACAATCAGACAATTGACCAGTATAAAAGAAATAAAATATAACAGAAGTGATGGAGCTTCAAAGTTGTTTTTTTTTTTTCTTGCCTGGCAACTGAACTGGGCAGCATAGCAGGGTGAGCTCATATTTACTATGCTAAGTCACCCACCTGGGGAAAACAACCAGTGTTACTCTTAGGTGGTGTGTCTGACACATGAGTGTCCTGCCAGAAGTCATCGTGTGGAGAGATGTGAGCAGGGTATGTGCAGAGTCCCAATGGAATCCTTTCTTCCCTTGCTCAGTTACTTTGAATAGGAACAAGTGAATCAATTGTGTGGACAGTTAAACTCTCATCAGTCTTCAGAGTAAACAAATTAAATGTACAGACAGCACAGGGCTGAGCTCCTGTCACTGTATATTGTGTGTATGCAGAGACTGGGGTGGTACAAATCTGCATAGCTCCACTGGCAGGATAAACAGCAAGCTGAAAGATAACACAGTGATACTTGCTCCTGTTTGTCTAGGAGCATCTGGAATAGTTCATTTTATATTAGATGAAAAATTACTACTGAAAGAGCGTAGTTTGTTTGGCTTTTTCCCTAGCTGTGGGTTGGACTTAAGAGGAGTTGTAAATGCAAACATGATCTTATCCAAAATGCGTTCTTAACTCCATCCTCGGTTACAGCAGAACATGATGGAATATACCTGAAAAAAATCCACAATAAGTATTAATTATAATAATTCTTTTTATAAGAAGGGTGGTTTTTTTTTTAAAGTGAGAACAATCAATCTGTTGGACAACTTCCCCAGGGATGTAGTGGAGTCCCCATCACTGAAGGTTTGCAAGATGGTACTGGCCAGGGTGCTAAATAGTCTGATCAAGGCTTCAAAGCTAAAATGGAATTCAGTGGAGGACAAAGGATTTGACTGAAACCCTGTCTTAATAAGAATAGAACCTCCTATTAGGTAGAGCCTGACCAGGTGAGCTGCTTGAAGATCCTTGCAAATTATTTCAGTCTCCATCACTGGTGGTTTGACTGGCCTCACTTCTTACATGGCTGTCCTGAGGTTAGACTGGATCTTCTGTGTATCCAAAGCCCTGCTTACCAGTAGATCAGAACAACACTGGTAGGGAGTAGGAAAAGAACAATTGACATTTTCCCTGTGCAACTAGCAAATATTTTTTTAGAAACTTGGATGTTTAATTCTAAACTTACTGTTTTGTCTTTTATATTCACAGGCATATTTTGAAAACCATAATTCTGGGCCAGATGCTCTCTTTGTTTATCTGTGGGACTGCTGTTACAAGCCAATATCTAGCAGAAAAATACCAAGTGAATACTCCAATGTTTCAAAGTTTCATCAACTATTCTTTGCTGCTTCTAGTTTATACAACAATGCTGGCATTTAGGACTGGTATGTGAAATATGGGATGGGAGATTCTGGTTCATCTTTTTATTTCTTTTTTTTCCCCTACATTTTCTTTTCAGAATTTGAGTCTACAGAACTTAATACTCATCCTAGTTTTTAAAGTTCATGCTTTTTAATGACGCATGGAAATGAATTTCACAGGTTAAAAGTGCATTTAATTTGATATAATTTCGTATCTGTTTAAAGTTTTGTGCTTTTTGGTTTGAAGTCAAATGTTATATTAGGGAAAATAGGCTTTGTTGTAATGAAGCTTTGTTACCAGAGGCAATTTAATATTCCTCCTATTCTTGTTAATTTACTCTTTAAACAACACCAGTCTTGTTGGGTTTTTTCCTCACGTGGAAGAATTTCTGTGCTTTTCACCCATTTGCATTGTCTCCTCTCAGGCTGCATTTTGATGTCATTGTATCTTTCTTAAGCAGGGGCAAATTCAAACATCTTGGTATTATTTGTGCTTCTGAAAAGCAAAATTCCTTTGCAACATTTGGTTGGAAAGAAACACATATTGACTACTGCTTTCTTAACAGACGGTGATAGTCTTTGGCAAATTTTGAAGCAGAGGTGGTGGAAGTATATTCTTTTGGGAGTGGCTGACGTTGAAGCCAATTACATGATTGTAAAAGCCTACCAATATACAACTCTCACAAGTGTGCAGGTAAGGACTGATCTCTCTATTTGAAACTGTTGCTTTTATTGCAGTTTTGGACTAGTTTCTAAAATGAGATTCATAGGACAGATATGGAAGCTATTTAAGCCTGAAAAGAACTTTCCAGTATCTATTTTTACTTTGCAGTACAGGGAAGAGCATCCTGTATCATGAATAACCTTTCCAGGAAGGAGAGAAAATTGGCTGGTATTGCCCTGTGCCAGCTCTTGAGCTGAACTCTAACTATTTTGATAAAAGCACTTCTAAGAGTTTGCTGACAGCCACTCATTTTTTTCTCCTGACACAAAGATTTATAACCAGATAACAGTCACTCTGTGGGTTCTTGCTGATGAGAGCAAGGTAGATCTCTTGCCTACTCCTGGAAGCTGTGGGAGGCATTGTGAGATGTAACCCCACATATGAGGACGTACTGATAGTTAGCTGGTGTTACTTACCTTGCAGTGAGGGACCAGCCCTGTGGCTTTTGGATGTGGCACTTCAGGGCCCTCTCTGGAAGAGGCAGAAGGGAGGTCAGCATGCCAGACTCCTAAAGTAATGGTAGACATCCTCTGCAACGGTAGTACTTGATGCTGCATTACTGCACTAGGATAAATCTTGTTTTCTGAAATAGCTCTAAGGCTGGGGTTTCTCTGTCACCCTATACAAAAACTGCTGGAAGAGTCAGTGCTTTCCTCCTGCCTCCAGCTGCATGCTCCTGAGCTTGAGTGGCCAGATATCTTGAGCAGACTGGTCAGGGCACTGAGCAAAGTGGGACTAAACCCCGCCTTTGGCTGGACCGATTAGCGAGCTATGTCAGACCCAACTTAGGCTTCAGGGCTGCTGTGGGAACAAGGGAGGTGATGGTGCACAAGCAAGGAGGGAGTGTGTCCAGGTCGTGCCAGTTCATACCTCCTGTTACCTTTGGTGGGGATCTGTGGCTGGGATCATGGCCTGAATAAAAACCCAATGTAAAGTGCAGATTTGGCTGTTAGTTGGAAACGAGTGTTTAGGTGTCAGTGTTTTACAGAGTCAAAGTAACGGGTTAATATTTAAAAGAATTACCTGTAAAGCAATAAACTCCTGTGGTCTGGGCTCCCTGTAGAGAAGTGCAGTAACTTCTCTTTGCACTCCTAAAGACCAGTGGTGCCTGTTGGGCTGTTATTGTCACATTTCCACTTCATACTTAGGTGGTATGACTCATTACGCCTTTAATTTCCTGACAAATAATGCCAAAGAAATCAAAGCTTTAAGAGCAATGTGTTTCAGTCCCAAGATCAAGTTAAGCTGATAATTGAAACACTGTTTGAACATATACTTTACAGCTGAAAAAGCCAGGACTTTGATCCAAGTTCTCAGAAGTAATAAAGCTATTACCATGATTTCTTTCATAGAAATTAAGTAAGAATAGATATAATAGTTTTTCCTGTCCAGTTGCCAAACTCAAGCGTTTTCTGAGCCTTTTTTTCCTTTTGATTGCCTTCAGACTGATGCTGCTTTGTGCCAGTTCAGTAATTTCAATTTTGTTGTAATTACCTGTTGCCATGAGGTTTCTTGCACATTCTCTAAAGTCACCAGTTTCTCACCCCTCTCAGAAATGAGATACAGGAGGAGGGAAAAAAAAAGGAAAACCTGTGATTTGCTTTAGTGCAAGGCATTCTGTCATTAGCAAGCATTTCTGCAGCTACATCAGAACCTGTGGTTCAGAGCACCCAGTCTGATGGCCTGGCTATGACCTCTGCAGTACTGGCTATGAGTGGATGCCCAGAGAGCATAAAGCATCACAGGGGTATATGGCACCTTCCGAAATACAGGGTCTATAGGGAAATACACTGTTAAAATGCTGGCTGGCTGGAGCTTCAGCTCAGCACTATGAAACATAACTTCAAAGATAAGTTTTCTCAGCTCAGCAAGGAACTTCCATGTATTTTCTCACACATGCACACAAAAGCAGAACTGATTTCCCTTTAGTTATGAAATACCAGCATTTCACAGAAGGGGGTTGGGAGATTTTTTAGGAGATAACAATGGGATGGCAACTCTCATTTCTCTGTAAATAAAGAAAAAGACTTTGGTCCACAACTGAACTTCTGTTTGGCTGTGGCTGAGGCAGTGCCAGGAGAGTTCTTGCTGCCGGTGTCCTGTCTTGTGACAGGACTTGACTGTGCTGCTGTTTGACCACATATTAGGGCGTGAAGCTGAGTCAGAGTAGGTTTAGGTTGAAAATTAGGAAAAAGTTCTTCACCCAGTGGGTGGCTGGGCACTGGAACAGGCTCCCCAGGGAAGTGGTTACAGCACCAAGCCTGACAGAGTTCAAGAAGTGTTTGGACAGTGCTCTCAGGAACATGGTGTGACTCTTGGGGCTGTTCTGTGCAGGGCCAGGAGTTGGACTTGACGATCCTTGTGGGTCCCTTCCAACTCAGCGTATTCTATGATTATATGATTTCACAGCAAAGCACAAGCTGCATAGCTGTGGTTTCATGTTTTTAACGTGTTATTTGGCACATTTAGCATTTGCTCCATAGATAATTTGAGTGGAAGCGTTTTTCAGGCAACTATTGACAGAATATCAGCTGATGGAAGAGGAGAAAATGCAGGATGAGCTCCTGGGGCTCAGCTGGAGGCTGCCGTGAGGGAGCCTTGTGGGGAAGCAAGGAGGATGATCAGTTGAGCTTTCTTGCTTACAAAGCTGTCTGAGGCTGGCAATTATAAGCAAACCAATGACCTCCAACAGTCTATGATAATTTATTAACCATGTATTAAAATGTCTTTTAATAATTTACTCACTCTGTCTTTAAAACCTCCTATAAACAGTGTGGCCAAAGCCTAGCTTGAGTCCAAACATTTGTAAATCAAATCACCAGGTTATCTTTTTTTTTTCCAGTTGTGAAAATACAGGCTGGAATTGAATAATGAGCATTTGACGAGGTTCTACTGGCAATAGTAGTCAGTACCACAGTACTGCTGTAAATATAATAAAACCTGAATAAATAAACTTTATTCTTTTAATTAGTTCCACTGACACAATTCATTGTGATGTTACATCTGCTTTACACCTCTTTGATCTTGATCCTGTACAGAAGAGCTCTGTAATGTCCTAGATGAAGGGAAGGCAAGATCCAGTAGTTGTAAATCTGATTTCATCTGTCTGTAATTGAGGGTAATTTTCTCCTGAAATAGATTACCAGGGTGTGTTCTTCATCATTTGGTGCCTGTGTGTCCTGGCTGCAAGTCCTCTAATCAGGATGCTGTAGCTGTAGAGTATGTTCTTGATCTGGATGCAACAATTCCCCATCTGGCATAACTGAAAGACTTCTAGCTCATTATGTACTACTCCCTTACATCCTCATTAAGAACTTTTTTTTAAAGGGTTTTTCTTCCACTCCTTCTGTTTGGGTTGAAAAGCTGCTTGGAGGTTGTAAGGCTGTGTGCTAACATTTCAATTAATGGGGACATGAATGCTTACTTATTAGTAGAAGAGGTGTCTACTACTAGGGCGGCAAAAATTTTACTTTCTTATGTTTATAATATTTCTTGTTGTTTGATACTAGTCAAAACAGTCAAATTTGAAGGAAATGTTAGAAGGTTTTTCTTTAGTCTAGACTAAAGGTCAGATAGAGAAGACCTGTGACAAGGTAGTCACAGCATGATACTTTTCCACAGTATAAAGTTGTATTGAAATACTTAGTATCACATATTGGGACTTGGGTAGTTGTAATGTCTCATACAGTTTAGGCAGGTACTTCTGCACTTCACAAATAGACTTTACAAACAAGCTGGAGGCAATCCAAGGAGTGAAGACAAATAGATGGAAACATTAGAGGCACTGTGAGGATTTAATCTGTAATAGCTTCCCTTAATGCTATGCTTGTAAGACTTTATTATGTGTAGTTATGAACAAGTAAAACCAGACATATCATCAAAATGTTAACAAATTTGGTTAAAGCCCTTAGGGATAATGGCTGAACTACTGGAAGCCAGCACAGAAGTCAGCACAGAAGTTGACTGCAGTGGTACGCTTAGGCAAGCAGAGGCTGGCACTGAATATTGAGGACTAAGGGCTCTTATCTTGATTGCAGTGATTATGCCACAGTCCTGTTCACGTGGACCTTATACTTTGTTGGGACTTCAAGAGGCCAAGTTTTAAGAGCTTACATTTGACAGTCTTTTGTGAGCAATCTTTGGAAAGTTGACTATATGCTCTGCTGAAGGCTGTTCCCTTATGTAGCTTCATGGCACTCTACTGAGGCAGGTTAGAAAAAAGACGTTTTCTTTCCTCCAGACAAATTCAGAAGCAAAATCTGTTTAATTGAATGAAATATTAAACCAATTATGATTAACTCAGTGATCATGGTTTTATTTGGTTTTTCTAGAACATGTATCTGCAGGGGGACCTGGACAGGCTGGAGAGTTGGGCTGATTCCAACAGGATGAGGTTCAACAAGGCCAAGTGCCGGGTCCTCCACTTTGGCCGCAACAACCCCATGCGGCGCTACAGGCTGGGGACAGAGTGGCTGGAGAGCAGCCAGGCAGAAAGGGACCTGGGAGTTTGGATTGACAGGAAGCTGAAGAGGAGCCAGCAGTGTGCCCAGGTGGCCAAGAAGGCCAATGGCATCCTGGCCTGGATCAGGAACAGTGTGGCCAGCAGGACCAGGGAAGTGATTCTTCCGCTGTGCTCGGCACTGGTGAGACCACACTTTGAGTACTGTGTCCACTTCTGGGCCCCTCAGTTCAGGAAGGATATCGAGGTGCTGGAGCAGGTCCAGAGAAGAGCAAGAAGTCTGGTGAAGGGACTGGAGCAGAAGTCCTATGAGGAGAGGCTGAGGGAGCTGGGGTTGTTCAGCCTGGAGAAGAGGAGGCTCAGGGGAGACCTTATCACTCCCTACAACTCCCTGAAAGAAGGTTGTAACCAGGTGGGGGTTGGTCTCTTCTCCCAGGCAACTATCAGTAAGACAAGAGGGCATGGTCTTAAGCTGTGCCAGGGGAGGTTTAGGTTAGATGTTAGGAAGAAATTCTTTACAGAGAGGGTAATCAGGCATTGGAATGGGCTGCCTAGGGAAGTGGGGGATTCTCTGTCCTCGGAGGTTTTTAAGATGAGACTGGATGTGGCACTTAGTGCCATGGTCTGGTAACCACAGCAGTAGTGGATCAAGGGTTGGACTTGATGATCCTGGAGATCCCTTCCAACCCAACTGATTCTATGATTATGCCCATCTTATGCTGCAGCGCACAGCTAACTCTTGATGCTTTCTGTACTGAAGGAAGAAAAGTGGAAGATCCTTGGAAGTGTTCAAGGCTGGGTTGGATGGGGCTTTGAGCAGCATGGTTGAGTGGGAGGTGTCTCTGCTCATGACAGGGAGGTTGGAACTAGACGAACTTTAAGGTCCCTTCCAACCCAAACTGTTCTGTGATTCTATAGGTGATCTAACAGAAAGGGAAAGATACATAGGAACACATTCAGAGGGGATAATAAAGAAAGGAAAGAGAAGTCTGTGTCACTGCTTGTCATGAAGCACAGACGTCCTTGAACCAAAGATGTTCAGTCTGCTTGGGGTAGTGTCTGCAAACACATCTGAGTGCTCTAAAACTCCAGGTGCCTTGTGCATCTCTGCTGCTGGTGCATTGGTGAATTAGGGTGGGTTAGCTGCTTCTGACTAATTAAGAGTCAGCTCTGACAGAGCGATGAAAATGCACTGGTGACTTGTATGTGTTTTTGTGGGAAACTGGGAGATTGGGGAGGTGACTTAAGGACAGCTGGTTTTGCTACCTATCTTATTTCTACCGATTTTGCACATGGTTTCCAGCACATGTACCAGGTTTGTTTTTTAGTATGATCCAGTTGAGCTGTGGGGTCAGATTCTTGTCCTAGTCGCTTCACTGTAAAATTAGATTACTTGTATCCATCAATAGTTCCAGATTTTTACTTTGTGTACGTGGAGCTGTGGGGAGCAATACTCTCTCAGAGCGACATCCTAGAATTCATTTGTGAAGCTGTGAAGTTTTATTGGATCCATCATTAGAAGGGCTTCTAAGTCAGTACTTTCCTACCAGGAGAGAGTGGACCCCTACTCCAGCTCGTTCATCACTTGCAAAATGCTTCTAATGGTAAAATGTAGGTCTCACCGCTCGCTTAAACACACCCACCGAGGTTGCTTTGCAGGTTTCATTAACAACTGATGAAAAGTAAGATCCTATACATTTGCTTTCAGGAGGTTGCAGTCCAGATTTGGGATGCATTTCTAACTCAGACAATTTTTCTGTGCACACAGCTGCTGGACTGTTTCGGGATTCCTGTGCTGATGGCTTTGTCATGGTTCATTCTCCGAGCAAGATACAGGCTGATACATTTTCTTGGTGTTGCCGTCTGTTTGCTTGGTGTAGGAACAATGGTGGGTGCAGACATTTTGGCAGGGAGGCAGGACAGTGAAGGTAAGGAGTCCTTTATTGCGGGGGGGGAAAGACTGGAGAGATGGTTCCTGCGGTGGGCTAACTTGAAAAAGAAGCAGATGCAGGGGGCGCGGATATAGTTCTGTTTTAAAAGAGGAGAACATGCTGCTATTTGTATTTCTTGTCCGAGAAGAAGAGACGGTGATTTTATGGGGAGCTGTGGAATTTCTTTGCTTGTGTGTTTGGATTATTTCTCCCACCTTAAAAGAGAAACACTTTTGTTAAACTCAAATTTTCCTGCTGTTCATTACATGTGACAGAAGTCTCATTCTTGAAGGCTTGTTAACTTTGACTATCATGTGAGATGGTTTAATAGAAGAAGTTGCCTCTCCCTGCAAACCTTGTCTTGCTTACGCAAGATCAGCCTGCTGGTACCCAGTCTTCTCTGATTTGCAGTTTTCTTTGAGTACAAATACCAAATAAAAAGTTACTCAAAGCAGCTGACTTCTCTGAGTTATCTTTGTCAGACCCAACAGAAGTGGTTGATGTATCCCCAAGGCCCATAGGCTGCAGTCCGGAAAGCAGGGGCTTACTATGGGAGAGCAAGAGGAGATGGGGCAAGATGCTGAGATTCCTGGGGCCTCTGGGAGGAAGGCTGGGCTCTGGGGACCAGCATTCAGCTGGGTGCAGATAAGGGCAAGTCTTGTCTTCTCTGTGACAGATGCCCAAATCAACCCATATTGTAGTCATCTTATTTTGAATAAGAATCTTGGATTTTCAGACAGAGGGTATGGGACAAGGTAAATTTCAGGGCATTGTTTTCATCAGGCAGCATAGAAATAAGCCTATGTGACATAATTTTGGGACCTTAGTAGGTAAGACACAGAACAAACTGAAGTTTAGCTTTACTGCCATGTGGTACAAGCATCTTGGTCCTGAGGGAGAAAAATCTTTCCCTGAGAGTTTAAGATAGTTATGCTTTATTTGCTGACTTGGGGATCCTTACTACTGCTTACCCTCATATTTTAGACATATTTTCTTAGTGATTGCTAACTGGCTTGGGGAAAGGAAATTTTAAATTCAAGGATTTAAAAAACAGGAATCCTCTTGCTATTTGACTGTTTTAGTGGCATTTACTTGATAAGTGACTGTAGCACAGGGAGTCCCATTTGCTCAGTATGAATACGTTGCAGCAGGACACATGGTACCACCCATCTACAGTGCCCACTTAAAACCTGTCAGAAACCTGAAGCTGAGTCTGGGTCCCACCAAGATCGATATATTGATTCTAGCAAGACTTGAATCAGACCTTACTGCAAAAGTGGGGACAATATTCATGTAAGGCAGAGAGCGTTTCTAACCAGGAATTTTCTCAAGTCCCTGCAGTGCCCAAGGTCAGCAGAAGTAGAATACGACCAGATGATACAGCAGTGTCTTGGTCAGGATGAGATGTAAATGCTGGGTTTAGCTCATTCCTTATTCCAGACTGTGCAGGGTGAGGTGATCAGGCAGCAGAGTCCGTGCTCAGACACTCCTCTTCCCGCACAGGAGGCATTTCCTTTTCCCTTACCCTGGAATGCACTAGAATGGTAGAGATGTTAGAGATAAATTTGCTTGTCTTTTTAAGGAAAGTTAAAAAGTGTTTGCAGCCTTACCCTTAATTGTGGATTAATATTTCTGTACAGGAAGTGACGTGGTGATTGGAGATGTCTTAGTGCTTCTTGGTGCTTCTTTGTATGCCATTTCTAATGTGAGTGAGGAATACATTGTGAAAAATCTGAGCAGAGTGGAGTTTCTAGGAATGGTGGGCTTGTTTGGGACTATTGTCAGCGGTCTACAGCTGTAAGGATCTAATATTTATTTTGAAACTAATTAAGAATATTCTACAGATGATTGCTTGTCTACCATGAAATGCTGTTATTAATTAATTTTTTGTTACATCTGCACTTGATCTATATGGGAGTCCTTCCACTTGAATTATATTGCTGATCAGCATCCATTTTATATCCTCTTTATTTGCACTACTCTTATTACAGCAATTCTAAAATTGAACTCCTGCAGTTAAACACATATGATACTCGGCTGTATTTTTGATTTTGTTATGTTCATGAGGACACTCAGTATGCTGAGGACTATTGTCAGGAATGTATTTCTTAATGGGTTTTCTCTGTGGAAAATTTTAGGAGATAATTGTTAGGAGATCTTCCATATTAAAGTCAAGTTTAAAATGAAGCCTTGTATAGTCTTACAAATAACCACATCAGAGTAACAGACCACATGCACTTAAGTCTGTCTAATGAATTTTATGTTTCATTTCTCATCATTATAGTTAATAATTTCTCCAAATGGTATATCAAATAAAACTAAATCTCCAAGGGATTAAAAAGCCTGTGAAAAAGGCATAAGAATTAAATAACAGTGCTCTTTCAGGCACTTTAATTTTCAAGTATTTTTTCAATGCTGTTAGATGTTTGAGTTAGTGTAATCCAATAAAATTTCAAACAAAAAATTAAGGGATTATAAATCAAAATTCTTCTTATGTATTTTGGTAATTAAATTCTCTACTTGAAAATTATTTTTTTCCCTTTTTTACTGCATTATATCTTTTCTCTAATTCTAGAGCCATTGTGGAACATAGGGAGATAATGAGAATTCAGTGGAACTGGAAAGTTGGTATGTGTATGGAAAAATGATGTGAATGTCAAAGAACACTGGAAAATTAGATTTAGACTTTGAATGCTGGGATTTGCCTTTTCTTTCTCGGAATATTAAGCAGCATTAATATTATATTTCACAAATGTATTTTCTGCAAACTTTGCAGCTTAGCAAGGAGATAAGATTTGCAGGATTGAACACTAAAGCAGGTTTTGTATTTTACATATAACATGAAATATTTTTTTTTAATAAATTGAAATAATTAAAAATTAAACCTGTTTCATTACTGACGTGTTTGGTGTTGGAACATTGCAAGAACATTTTTCTGTTTTCCTTTCTAAATAAAATACTGGAAAAACTAAATGGTATCAAGAAATATGGCTCTAAATTTCTTCAGTCAGCTCTTAATGTTATCTAGAAAGGAATGAGAACTTTCTTGTACAGATACAGTAATTCTTTCAATACAAGGTAATCTTGGAAAAGAAGTATTTTTTCCATGTTTTTCTTACGTGTACGTTCCCATATCTTTTAGGAGACCTTATCCTAAAAGATAAAAATGCATATTTTTAAAGCATCTGAAAACAATCAGTGTTCTTTAAAATCATTGTTCTGTGCCTGAGGAGTAACTTGTCGTCTTGTTTTACAGCACTGTTGTTCACAGTCTTTGCCCTGTGCATGTTTGGGCTGTATAGCTTCATGCCAGTTGTCATTAAAGTTACCAGCGCAACCTCAGTCAACCTGGGTATTCTGACTGCAGATCTCTACAGTCTGTTCTTTGGGCTTTTCCTTTTCTATTATAAGGTAAGTACATTCATTCCTTCACTTTCACGTTCTTTCAGTTATGTTTCTACTTCAAAATCATAAATAAAGCATAATGTTCTTAAAAGCCCCTGAACAGTCGTTTGCATCTGTACAGTTCTACAGATTGTACTGTTCGTTGCTGGCAGATGTGAATCAGGAGTTTTGCTTAGTTAATGACATAGCATAGCACCAATTAGGCAGAGGGTGATTTTCAAACTGTTTCACATTTGAAGGAATAAGTTAATGTTAAGAGATAATAAATAATCTCCTGAGGTGTTCAAATGGTAGTGTTCTTGCTGAAAGCCCAGTATGGAACTGTATGTTAGTTCTGGTTCATCACTCCCAAGTGTCCAAAGAGAGGGTTTGAATCTCCCTGTCCTGGCAGGCATTTGGTGTCTAAAAGAGGACCAGTTTGATTTCCATAAATTAATATTTTCGTTTAGAAATTTAATCAGTTCATTACCAACATCTTGGGTGAACAATCAAGCTCTCTCAGTGCTACTGCTAAGGGGAGACTAAAGGAACTGAAAAAAATACAGATAAATGTATTATGCTGCATGCTCTCCAATACTTTTATTGTGCTCTAAAACATTTTTGGCAATGTCTACTCTAGCTAAATGACAGTGCTAAAAGGATTTCATTCCACCCTACACTTTTCATCCAGAATCATTTGTGAGAACCTACCTTGTTAAAGCAATTGGAGTAATTGAGTCAGTCACTCAGTGACTGGAAGGGCTTAGAGAGAAGCTTGTGAGCTTTGATGAAGAACTTAATTTGTATTATTCCATGTGGTTGCTTTCTCTTCAGCCAGAAGCTTTTAGGTCAAATTTCTTTCTGAAAATGAAGGCGGCACAGAGGTCTGGTAATGGTAGGGTCTGCAACAGCTAGATTTTCCTTTTCAAGAGTCTTACCTCAGCTTTCCTTCCTCTTTTGGGTTCCAAAATTGCTCCAAGCTACAATTAAAATGAATGCAGAAAGCAAACCATACACACGTTCTAACAAATCCTTTCTAAGTCACTTCCAAACATGTATTTTGGCAACCAGATAGCTTAACTTGAGAAGTGATTATACATTTATATTCATAATAGTGAAGAGCTTTGGAAGGGATATATTAAACTTTAATTCTTTTGGATTTTTGGCTTATTTTGGTATGCTCCCAGAAAAACTTCTCCCCATCTCATAATTGCTAATAGCAGATTATTCTGGTAGCTAAAACAAAAAATGAGTTAGAGGAGACTTTGGGATTGTATTCAGAGAATTTCAGATATTTTTTGAAATAGGAACTTGAATCTGTGGTTAGAAACAAAGAAGTAGCAAAAAGGGAGCAATAATAGTGCTGCATTCCTAGTAATCAGAGAATTTGAGGTAACTTGGGCAATGTGAACTGAGAAAGGTCACTTTTGACATGCCTTTTAACATAATACTCAGCAGCAGAAAAGTGTATTGCCAAGTCATACCATATACCTTCTTTACCTATGGGGCAAACAAATCAGGCAGGACACCTGCTGGATTGAAAAGCACCCAGGACACAGGAATCTACAAATAAAAATACAAGGAATCACTCTGTATTCTCTGTTGCCAGATGATATTTCACAGCAAGCTGCTGAGGGCTTGGCTGGGCTGTAGAGTGGAGCAAGCCACAGAGAACTCTGAACTGTTGTGGTCTGAGCCTGCTCTGAAACAGAAGCAGCACAGACAGCGGCTACAGCACAGACCAGGGCCAGGAACTGATGAGGTTCTGATTTGATCACAATGCTTTGCTAATGCACTTGACTTTTCAGCCTCAGTTTAAAGTGAAATGTGAATTTTGCATGCCTGTTTTGAACTTTTTTGTCTTTCACTCCATAATGAATCTTTGCTGTGCTTCCTAAAGAGCTCATTATATAAATACCTATAATCCCTCAAGAAATATTAAAAAAGGTCTCCAAATGCTTTTGTTGTATAAACTCCTATGGAATGGCGTATACTGCACAAGCAGACACTAGATGGAGTTACAGTTCTCCACTAACATTTGAAGTAGTCTTTAGGCTTGACTGTGAGAATGGGGATATAAGCTGCACAAAGTATGACTGAAATCAATGTCAGAAACAATGAAGTTGTTGTGATATTTGAAATCAAAATTAAAAAAAAAGAAAAAGAAAAATCCCAAGAAAAGAACACAGAGCTCTCCTCAAAAACAAAAGGAAAAAAAAGAGTATAGGCCTGTTGGAGCAGCGTGGGTAAGGTTCACCTGTGTCAATAGCTGCAAAAACATAAGCAGGCCTTGAATAATCAGCTACACTGCAACAGCTTTGGCACCCTGACTTGATGACTCTATCCATTTGTGGAGGGATTAAATCAGTAGGATCAGAGACACCTTCAACCTTGTGAGTGCTAAACTGCTAGAGCCTGCAGCTCCTATGGTGTCACCTGCCAGCCACAGGTCCTTGCGTACAGGCATATGTTCTCTCAGGGCCTTAAGTTGGAGAATTTGTGCAGGTGAATTGATACAGACCCAAGCTCTGCCCATTTTATGGGAATGGGTCAGTCAGGGGTAGGATCGCGGGTGATGCTGCTGCCTCCACTGGGGTATGTTCAGAGCTTGGTGCTTCCTCCTGTGCAGAGTGAACACATGAGTCCAAGCTTCTCCAGGCAAACATCCAGCAAGGTGAGGAAAGAAGGCATTTAGCACAAGGCCACTGTATTTCAGTCTGCTTTTCCTTTTGTGTGTTGTCATGCAAGGGTTTCCATGCCAAGTGACTGCCAGCTAGGAACTGCAATGCCCTAATTGTAGATACCTCAGTCTTTTTTGGACGAGAGTCCATTGTCCGGGCACTACAATTCATTTCATCCAGCTCTGCTGCTTGATAGACTAGAACATATTTTTCAAGCATGTCTAAGGAAGCTAAGGCGGTTAGGGAATATTGACAGTGTAATGTAGGATACTCTGTGTCCTTCTTCCTACTTTTTAATAAGTGTGGTTTGACAAAGGCAATATGGACAGTTTCAACAAATCTGATGAAGAAGTATTCCTGACTGTGGATAACTTTACACCTTGTATTATTGAACCTGGTGTTATGAAATAAGCATTTATTTTTGTCAAGGTGGATGAATTTTGGCAATTATTGAAATTTTAACAGGTAAGTGAACAATAGTGAATCAAATGCCTGGTGTACCTCAGCAGTTCATACTCTTACCTCGCATCGGTCTTAACCGAGTACAAATGCCAATCTTGAGGACTTGCTGGGTGTAGGGAGCAAACTGGTTCTGGTCTAGTAATAAAGCCTGCAGATGGTTAAGAGATCTGTGCAGAGAACCAGCTGTTCTGGTGACTTTCAGTAAGATGGAGAGATTAATCTCTTGCCAGGACCTGAAATATTTGACTGTGCTGGATCAAAATTTTCTTAGGGATAGAGTGTTTCAGCATTTGTGTGCATAAACAACTGTCCTTCAGTATGACCATATTTACAGCCATTTATTCTCTCTGTTAAGATTCTTGTATGTAGACCTGAGGAAACTCCCTATCCAACAATGCTGAGGATGAGATGCAGAGAAAACCAGCCAGCAGGCTTAAGTCTTTAAGTAAATGGAGCTGTTGAATTTTGATTTTCAGACCTGAATCCAGGTCACGGTGATAATCCTCATTAAAATAATTTTTAAAAGGAAGGGTAGCTTTTCACATTCTTAAAATAAGGCAGCATTGACATGTTTTTACAATCAGGCAAGACTTAATGCATCTCTTTCTTTCCTCTGCCAGTTTTCAGGTCTTTATATCCTGTCCTTCGTTATCATCATGGTGGGCTTCATCTTGTATTGCTCCACGCCAACTCTGACAGCAGAACCCACTGCCTTACCACAGCCTAGCAGCACTGGCTTGGACAATGCTGGACTAAAGCTCGAAGAGGGTGAAAGTGAAACTCCAGCCATAACTGTGCAGTTCACAAGAGGAGAAACTGTGGCGGTCAGGACTGATTAAAGAATGGCAGCATTTCAATCAGAGCTTCTTTTTAAATCGCCAAATTTCCCTCAAATATTAATCCTGAGGGTTGTCCTACTGCCAAAGCATGTGTCATGCTGCGCTAGTTTTAATGCACTGGATAGACTTTTAAGGCCAGATCCTCAATCAGTGAAATTATTGATTTGCCCTTGCACAAAATCTGGCCCTTAGAAGAAGACAGATTAGTATTTATGTGGAGTCTCTGGAAAGCTAGAGACTCTTATTTTTAAATGCTTAATTAACTTAACAATAAATGCTTGGGGAAAAAACTAAGCCAAAGCAAGCTCTCAGGTCACTAAGTGGAGCAAATATGTTTTATATTGCATTAGGGACCTAAATCTGCATGATGCTTTCAGAGGGCTTCATGGTTTCCTCCTCTTGGTGCTGAATACCCTCAAATAGCATCTTGCAAAAGCCGTTCAGCTTCTCACAGGACCTAGTTCTGCAAGCCCTATTACATACATACACCTTCCACATGCCAGTGAACTTAATTCCTCTACGGGAGGATTTGCTTCCGATGTTCTGCCCAAATGTTCATCTCTTCATATTGCTGCGGCTATGTGTATTTTATTTTGAATGTTGCTAGTAAGAGAAGTTTGAATATGTTTTTATAGTGCCTTCTATTTCTCTCTCAGTGGCCTTTTGTTTGCTGCATTCCCACTAGGTGGGGGAAGCAAAAGCAGGCCCTTGCTCTGTTCAGTAAGAACTGAATGTGGGTTTCTTTTTGGGATGAGACAGCAAAATATTTTGAACTGATGTTCACTTCCAGTGAATTTCTCCATGAAACGAGACACATTTCTGCTGGAAGAGTTGAATAGAATTGACATTTCTTGAAAAAATCGAATCATCTTAGCCAACTCTCATTGCAACAATAATGACATAATATCCAAAAGTTCAAGTGCTTTCAGTAGGTATGCTGGCAGTTGTCCTCCTCCTCTTCATATTTACAATAAATGATTAAAAAATACAAGACTGCAGTTTTAACATCAGTAAAACCATACTGGGGTTTTATTTTACTTTATATTTTGTATAAGCCTTTGGAGTTCTGGTGTATGAAGTAAAAAAAGAATAAAGTATTCAGCAGCTGAAGAGTTGGTCTTGGTTTGCTTATTTTTTAAGCTAGAATTTCTTTATTGCTCAAAATTATATTAATTAATTTTACCAACCAAAGAATTCTTCTAATGGCTGAGCTTTGCTCTTGAAGGAAATACAACATTTTCTAAAGATATTGGCGATCAAACAACAGACTGGGTTTGTTTAGTTCTGGTGTAGTTTATTCAAGCAAAATAATTCAGGAAAAATGTTAACCTGATTTTTAGGCAGAAATAGTAAAACAAAGGTTCAGCAGATACTGCAGGAACAAGCATTGCTTTTTCACTGAGTAGTTCATGCATGGAAGGGTGCAGAGGTGCTGATGTTTTATGAAGAGCGTTTGGGTCCCCTGCCATGTAAAATGCTCCTTTTGAGGGGGGGATGGTATTTATTTTGTACTCTATGTGGTACGATCAGTGTAACCTGATGTAGGTTTTATCTGAAAATACAAAAAAATTTGTATTGACTCAGACTTTAGCCAGTCTTCAAAAACCCACAAAAAACCCCCAGGATCATCTTGTGGCACAGTGTGAGTGCTCAGGCGGTAGCTCATCTTCTTAATATATAGACCACTGAAATCAAAGTTTTGTAAAACATGGGTGAGGTTCCAGGCATAGCCTATTAACTATGGATTTGTTCTTCCAAGGCTTTTAAAATCTCACTATAATAAGAGATTGAAATCTGATTCAAGCAAATTGGGACAGACAGGACTTAACACTGAACCACAAGAAGAGAGGAGCAGTGCAGGGCAGCATCCCAGCTCAGATTCCTCAGCGTGTACACTGGGACAGCTTAGTGATTTGACAGAGTTACAGTCTGAACTGAAAACTTTAACTCTGTTTCACAGAGTGAAATCACTGTGATTTAACTTTTTATGGTGTGATTTAACCCCATACAAAATATTTTCATGGCACATTGTAGGTAGCTAAGGTTAAGATGGGTACTAATGTCACCAAGAAGGGCTGGAAGATCTTTCAAGCTTTCAGTGAGGACAAGGTAGATATTTTTTCTCAGTCCTTCTGTCAACAACTCTATGCCTTTGCCATCCCCATGGTGTCTTCCATTTCTCTCTTTGTGACCCTGCTGTATGCAGGGAGCTTCTCTGTCAGCCTGGGATGGTGGCCAGCTACCTGCTGATGGTCATGCACACCTAGTGTCCTACCCTTCCTTGCCTTAAATTTCCTACTCCCACCCTACCTGGGTGAAGAGGAGACAAAGTTGACTTGCAGAAGAGCTCTGCATCACAAACTGGCACTGTGGTGCAGTCCAAGCTCTGGGCACAAGAAGTGCTCGAAGCCTGACCTTGCAAAGTCCTCCGCATGAGGTGCTGGCTCCCTGAACCAACTGTTCAAGGAGTGGGGCCAGATACATCACTCCTGCGTGCTGTCTGTCCCATGAATCGGAAGGAAGTAGGTGCAGACTGTTAAAGGAAGATGTATTACTTCAGAGCAAAAGTGACACGTGTTGCTCTTGGGAAAAAAAATGTTCAGTTAATGAATCACATATGCCAGATCCTCTGGTACCTCAGAGACAAGGTGCATGAGTGAGTCTTTAACACAAATCTTTATGGGATATTGGAATAAGCTGGAGAAAAAAAATCCAGCTGTTACTTGCATTAAACCCAAGAATCCAAATAAAAATGTGTGACATCCAGCCTCCCTTTAAGGTTTGGTTACAAGAGATCAAAAATTATCTGGCATCAAAATGTCATGGTGTGTTGGAAAAAGAAAGAAATTAGTGTGGCAGTAATTGAGCAGTGACATTATCTGTGCTAGTTTGAAGGAGAAGATGGGCTTGTGGGCATCAGCTATTTTAAGATTTTTGACCTTTCATAAGCTGCACATAGTTCTGTATGATGTGTTACCTGGGACAAGCATATTAGTTCTTGTCAGCACCATTCATTCACAGTATGTATTGTGGGATATTTCATTGTGTTATGCATGTCTGTCTTGAAACTGTCTATTTCAATCAATTTAGGAAGTTTGGCAGAGAGAAGCTGCACAAGCTACATGATCAATCATGAACAATTTTGATTTGAGCAAGCAGACAGAGATTCCTAAAAATGCAAAGTGAAGGATCCTGTGACTGGTTTGATCTTTCACCAAAATGCAGCCTCTTGGCAATTTTAGTGTTACACCTGATGAGAATCTGATGAGCTGTGATGTTACATCATTTAAAGATTGACTTGAGGCTACACCTAGACCTACACACATCAGACAAACAGCATCCAAGGTTTTGGAGTCTTAGCCTCTTGAGCTCTCTTGTTGCAGTCCTTGAAGGGAGCAATTTGGCTCTCCCTCGGAGTTTTCTTGTTTTGGGTGCCTAGGTTTAGGTGGAAGCAAGCCAAGTCTAGAGACCCCAGCCAAGTGCAGTGTCCCATTCTTACGGGCAGTGGGGTCTGTAGTGAGGGGCTATACAAGCTGAAAGGTTTAAAATTTATGTGAGAGATGAAAGAGGCACGGAGAGATTTCCTTAGCAGTTACGGGAAGCTCATGGCTGATTCAGCAGTATTTGTGTGCAATGGTATCTAAAGTGTGCATCCTTCACTCCTCTCCAGATACAATTTAATTTTTCTCTTGTTTAAGAGCATTCAAGACTGGAAGTTATAGATTTTACAGAAAAGAGCCATAAGGAAAAATCTGACTACTTGTACAACACAGGTCAACACATTGCATCTGATTGCTCAGAAGCAAAAAATACAGCACTGCATCAGCTACTAGGAAAAATTAACTCTATCCCAGCCAAAACCAGGAAGAAGGTGTAGGTTTGAGTTAAGTTGCAGCATCTCCTTAAAATCTTGATACTAAATTCTCAAAGCAATATTGAATTAATCTCTTCTGCAAGTAGGGGCATTGATTTTTTTCATGAGCTGGCTCTTGGATATATAAAATATGAAGAGAGAAAGTTACAACCCATGACATCACCCTATTCAAAATAAACTTTATTTCACCAGCTCCTCTCCAGACGGTCTCCCTGGCTGTCAATACCATGAGCAGAGCTTGGGCAACAAGGCCGAAAGATCACTGGGACTACAGGTGAAAGGTGTGTTTTGTCCTCATACCTCATAGTATCAGAGTCTCCAGAGCAGTCCGAAAGAGCAGACAACATATACTGAAAGTACATTGCAACTTTCAAAGAAGGCATTAGAGAAGATGGCTTAAAAAATTATAGTGGCATGTTATTATTGTAAAAAATGAAAATTTCATGTTTATTTGAAATATTAAGATGTTTTTATAGAAATACCAACGTTTATTACGTACTGATATCTGGAAACAGTGAAATATCTCCAGAAGCAGAGGTCACTGGAAGTTTATGTAAACAGCAGCTAGTAAAAGCAGTTGCAATTCCTTGGGAATATTCTTGATGTTACAGCAGTCCAGGGTAATGTTGCTGCTCTTCAGCACCATCTGTTGACACCATATCTAATTATTTTAATTAGGAAGAGGACTCTGACAGGCAAAAGTGCACCTTCCCCAACACAACCATTTAACTCAGTAAATGCATGATCAAGGAGTGATTGGAACTGGAGTAAACGTGGCAGAAAAAGGCTGCACAAAGCTATGGCTGCTTGCCAGTAGTCCAGAAAAGATTGGTTTTGCTTTAACCCATAATTATTATTTAATGAATCAGATAACTCATCCATACATAGATCATTATAACAAGGTAAAGAATGTTTTAGGTTTTAGCCTTAAACTATTGGGCCAATAGAACACCTTTTCCTTGAAAATTTGACCAAAACCATGACAAAATTCAAACTAACTAAAAAAGCTTTTTCAGGGTAAAAAAGATGCCACCAATCCCAAATAAGCCAACACTTCATGTTCTGATGATAATATATATATATATGCATAATATCTGTGCCCTTGAAAAATCAATGAGTATTTAAAAACCTGTACAGGTACACATTACAACTCACATTCTTCTTTGCTGTACTGTTTGCAGCAGAGTTCCTTCAAATTGTTTTCAAGGAGGCTGTGATGCTCCTTGACACTCAAAAACCTTTGTAATTTGTCTCCCTCTGCCATCAGTATAAGTGCCTGTTGGACTTCCCTTGAGAAATTGCTTTCATTCAATAAAGTTTTTACATTGCATGTGTTAAAAAAAAAGAAATCCTGCTGGGTAATCCTATCTCTTGTAACATCTGTAAATTAATTTGTTTCTTGAGAGCAAGAGTGATTTGTAACTCACCACAAAGCTAAAGTAGCATGACTAAATTAAGAAGAGCATCCAGGCAGCTGGAACGCAATTACGGCATAAATGCACATGCTGTGTTAATGCGATATTAAGGTTATGAATTTAGTGAAACAGGAATCAGCATGCACAAAGATATGCTTCCTTTCTTCCTACAGGGTTTGTCTGGCCATGCTGATAGGAGAAACGTCTGCATTAGCTAAACAACCTGAGGACTACCTGTGGGTTTCATGCATGCAGACATGATGGAGATGACATCTTAGCTCTG